GGAAAGGGCTGAAACCTTTTTAGGAGACCAGATCAGTCCCCCAAACTGCTTTGTTCCTGCCATAGCAAATATCCAGGTCTGAACTCACAGATTCTTCACTAGGCCCTGGGTTCAGAGAGGAAGAGACAAGTAACCATTAACTCGAGATTCTTCTTCAAATGTTCCCTACCCACATGTCTAAGAATAGCAATTACCTGAGTCCTAAAGCATGTCCAGTCCAGCCCTAGGGCTGGCCACTCCTGCTCACAGTCTTCCAGGTCCATGACACCTCTCAACCCCGCCTCCTGACTCCCCATCTGTCAACAATACAACATAGAGCACAGATTCCTTGAAGAGCCCAAATCATCACTTCTGTGGAGGAAGCCATAGAGCCCTTACCAGCCCCCTCCCTTACAGGACACAGTTCATTTTCACCCTGAGAGGTCTTGCTGGTTTCCTCTCACTCGGTCTCATCAGCATAGAATGCACCCTGTATACAGGAAAATCACTGCCTGGTAGGAGAAAGTAAGCATGAATGCCTAAGATGATTAGCAAATTATTTCAGACCGTTCTATTCAGGTCCTAAAATGTACCTTCCCAGTGTTCCATGTTGGTAAGTGCCTAGTACTAAGCATGCATCACACATCATGGGGCCTCTTTGGTTTTCAATGGGATCTGATTTTGAGTAAAACCAAGACCCATTGGCTTCAGGATGCTGGGAAAACTTGGCACAGGGAAGGTAGTTGGATGATACAGTACGGCTGTGGTTTTCCATAGCCACATTGACAAGGAAAAATCCCTTAATTGACACAAGTGGACCCCTGACACCCACCACAATGGTGCAGGCGATGGAAGATCATCCCAGGGCCACCTTCACAAGATCTTCATGGCTCCAACCTCAGAAACTGGCCTAGCCTGGGTGGTTCACTAGTGGCCATGGAAACGCTATCTGTAGGCATCATAAGAATATTTATTTAATAAAATAATCAATGAAGAAATTCCATACTTTTCTTATACAGACAAAGGATGTTACATACACTGTGCTGGCTGCCAAAAACAGAGGATATTTGAGATGTGTGAAGGTACCTCTGATAGTCACAGGACACAAGGAAAGCTGTAGTCATCTGCCTGTTTCTTTGGTGTGCCTTGATTGTTCATCAGTTGCTCTAGATATACCCTAAGGAAGGCAGCCTTGAATTTGGCCAAGGTATCATTCTCACTCCTCCGCCAACTCAGATTCCTCTCAATGATCTCCCTAAGTAGATGATGTCGATATATGTCTTACAGAGCACAAGAGGTCATTTCAGTGTTAGATAGAAGCAGGGTTCAGGCAGAAGGCAGCCCCTTCATGGGCAATGATAGGCCAACCTGAAGATCAATTTGATTTGAGAATTGAGAGTCGGCAGCTCTCAAGAGGGCGTGATGTGAGCAGGCTAGTACTGAGGGAAACAGGACAACCATCAGGGTACCAGCTAAGGAGCACAGGAGCCCAGACACCCTCTGTCTCATTCTGCTTTACTTCTTCCAGAGATGGAATGCAAAATGAGCCCTCCAGATAAAACATGAACTCCTTTCGAATGCTTGCAGCCTGCCCTACAGCTGATTCTAGCCAATGGCCCATGGAAAGGATTTTTAAAACAGTTGCTGTGTGTCTCCCTTGTGTTGGCTGTGTGTATTTTCTCTACTTGGATGATTGGTATCTAACAGCCTCTCCTGAGCCAGCCTCATGCTCTCTCCATTTGGTGGTATGATGCCCACAGCCACTCAGAGCTAAGAAGTTCCACTGGTAAAAGGAGGAAGGAAATGGTGGAGCTGGAGGGTTGGAATCCGTTCTGTAGTTTGTGAGTTTCTCAAATTCATTTTCATGAAGCTTGGATATTTAGATGAAGCCATCCTTGTGCTATCTTAGTGCATAGCTCCTTTATACTGTGAAAAGTTGGGACAGGGTCATGAAACCTTGTTTCCTAGCTGTGTAAGTCTGTGAAGTCATTCTCAAGCAGTTGCCAAAGCGAGTCTTGCTTCCAGCACATTTGGGTGCATGGCAGTAGTTCTAAGCCTTGACTGTCTAGGAAAAACTCAATGAACCACTGTGGCCTCCCCATTGCAAGTATTCAAGAGACAAGTCAGGAAGCAAAGGCATCAGAAGCCCTGAGGGGGCCCAGAGGAACAACACATAGAGGTAATGAAGACAAATGGGGTTTGTGTGTCACCTGTGTTCAACATTGCTCGGCATAGAGTCTGGAATGAGCAGTCAGGTGACAGGGATCCAGGACTCTGGCTACTTCCCACTGGGCATTGCTGTCATTTGGCAGATTAACCTGTCTGAGTTTCAGTTTTATCTTTTATAACCATGGAAGTAACAGTAAAAAGTAGTGGCCAGTTCAAGGGTAGCTTTTGGAATGTGGTGAGCACAGGTAAATAAAATACTTTGGAAACAAAAATCTCCAGCCCCACTCCCCTGCAAAAAAAAAAAAAGATAAAATTAAATTAAATTTAAATGAAAAAAATGTATAGCCCAACAGATGTACACAGGCAGATTGTATGTGCCAGGATCTCCATCTGAATTATCACATGATGGGAAATGCACAGTCAAGGTCTGAGCTGACCAGAAAAAATGGATGGTCCTTTAATCTGGTTTTCAGCCTCTCTGAGTATGATCTTTGGATACCAATCATTTGTCATAGACCAGGCTATAGAGATAGAGTATTTCTCAGTGTTTCAAGCACTTGGCTCAACAGTGATGCCCCCAACATCCCAGAGTTGTTTCTTTTCAGAGAATGGTCTAAACAATGTTGAGGTAACAAGGCCTGGGACATGTACCTCCACCTGGGCAGCCAGTGGTCCTCACATCTCAGCATGAATTATGTATCCTATGAGCTGTTTCAATTTCCATCTCTGATACCCATAAAGATGGTGGTTTAAATTTCCCCTTGCTCTTCTGAAGATCATATGGTAGATAATGTGCAGAGTAGAACAGACTGAAATTTCTCAGACATAGCTCTGTGGAAAAGGTACTGTATAATCCCAGGCACATGGAGAGGACACTGTACCACACCCCAGGGACTCACACCTAGGCAGACAGTAAACAATGACCTTCAATGTGGCAATGTGACCAGGAGCTTGCCTGTGTTCTGCAATGGGTCCATTCTACTCTCTGTAGAGTGGCAGTTCCTATTTCTTAACCTACATAGAGGTCTCTCTTGTCTGTGTGGGGTGGGGAGTACCTCCCTTGTATAGATGTAGGTCATGAACTTCCATCACAGGTGAACTTGAGCAAACCCAACCACATGTGCCTAATTCTTCTGTGGACTACAAAATCATGATAAGGGATCCTATCAACTCACTACAGCACCTCAGCTGTTTCAGAGTGGTCAAAAGCTCCAGCAATTTTATGTGCATTAAATTAGCAAAATTACGAAAGGACGCACTTGTCACTTGGAAATGTCTGTTGTGTCACAGAGAGTGCTGGGGTACCAAGGGCAAGTGGAGAAGCAGGCTAGTGTGGGTGTGACTATCCTCACAGCAGTCTTATAGTGAACATTCCTCTGCCAGCATAGCAGGGCCCTCTGCAAACCACTGGTAAAGGAAGTTAGAAGTTAATGACTCTCCTTCCAGATGAAGTGTGCTATTTCGCTTCTAGGAAACAACGTCTAAAATATGCTAGGTTTCCAGTTTTGTATAAACTACAGGTGGAGAAAGGGATCCTGGTCTTTGATAACTCACAGTGAAGTGAAACTTTTTCTGATGAGCCAGAAAATTCACAGTAGGGACCAGAAAGTAGGCCAACAAAGTAGAAGATAAGCATCTCCTCCTTAGGCTAGCCTGGGCATGTGCCAAGGCATCAGTGGAGGAGAGGGGGAGACTGTAGGACCCTAGTTAGTCAGTATCTGGAAAGCACCAAGGAGCTTTATGTGGAGATTGGGCAGTGATCTCATGGCTGGGTGAGTTTTGGAATCATTCCAGCTGCTTTTTAAAACTTGCTATCTCCAACCCCTACCCCTCCATACATCATAACTGCATCACAATGCAGTAAGTGTGGTCTAAGGGCTGCTTCTCACAAAGCAACCATGAGACCCTCAGAAAGGATCTGAGGATCTGAAAGATCATGTGGACCTGTATGCATATCTGTTATACATCATCCTCCTCCCCATCATCCTGACTGTAAGATTGGAGTCAAAGGAGTACTGACAAAGAGGTCCATTGGACAGCATCTTTCTTGCTTCCTTCCATACCAACCATCCCTGATCTTTCTTGTGAGTTAGCATGAAATCTGAAAACAAAATGCCAAAAACACATGGGACATGCCATCAGAAAGACCCTAATGCGGGGAAGGGAAGGTAGCTCAGTGGTAGAGCACTTGCCTTGCATGCATGAGGCCCTGGGTTCAATTCCTCAGCACCACATAAAAGAAAAAAGCCGGAAGTGGCGCTGTGGCTCAAGTGGTAGAGTGCTAGCCTTGAACTGAAGAGCTGAGGGACAGCGTCCAGGCCCAGAGTTCAGGCCTCATAACCAGACACCCCCCCCAAAAAAAAAGTCCCTAATGCCAGCTTCTATAGATTGCAACTTTATTCTCCAGCTAGACTTTCAGATTCAAATGCTCCTTGCACATGGTGGAGTTATCTCCCAACAAATCCATCATAAGTCAGGAATATCCCAAGTCAAAGTACATTTATTGTTCCCAGAAATGCTTCACAAAGTCAAAAAAGTTGAACTGTTGTAAATTGGGGATTGTCCATACCATGTTTGGCTTTTATAAGATTTTACCTACTAATGAACCAACCAAGAGTCCTGCACTTGAGTTTCTGATCTTCCTGTTCTTGGGCAGAATGCCTCAGCTGAGGCACCCTGGATTTTTGTTTTTAGCTGCATACGGCAGACAGCAATGGTACCATGTGCAATATCTTTAGCTACAACAGCAGCCAAGGAATATCTTCTCCAGTCAAGCATAGCATCCATGTCTTGGGCAGTTCTCCAATGATTCCTTTACCAATCGTCTTTCCTGTCTCCCACTGTCTCTACAGAGTGACTACTCAAGTGACACTGAGAGTGAAGACAACTTCCTCATGATGCCACCTCGAGACCACCTGGGACTCAGTGTCTTCTCCATGCTCTGCTGCTTCTGGCCTTTGGGTATCGCAGCCTTCTACTTGTCCCATGAGGTAAGGTCTCTGCCTGTTAAATATCTTCACAGCTGTGCTGTGACACAGGCACACTGGATCCAGGAGGATCCAGTTATAAGGAAGTCAACATGGGAACTATCATAGAACACTCCAGACCAAATGGAGTACCCCAGGGGCATTGGCAGGGTTGTTCAGGCTGTCCCAATTGTGGCATGATGATGATTGGTCTTTGCAGAGGTGGGACTGACATCCAGAGGAAGTCTGCTTGACAGAATCAGGCATCCACTTGGTAGGGTGCAGGTAATGAGCCCAACCCCAATGCTGTCAAATACCTAGCCCAAGTCAAGAACACCATAATATTGAACTTAGTGAGAAAAGAGAAAGGGAGAGTTTTGCTTTCATTATTTTTTTGGGGGGGGTCCGGTTGTGGGGCCTGAACTCTGGGCCTGGGTACTGTCCCTCAGCTCTTCAGCTCAAGGCTAGCGCTCTACCACTTGAGCCACAGCACCACTTCCGGCTTTTTTCTTTTTGCTTATGTGGTGCTGAGGAATCAAACCCAGGGCCTCATGCTTGCAAGGCAAGCACTCTACCACTGAGCCACCTTCCCAGCCCCTTTTGCTTTCATTATTAAGGCTGGTCAAGTAACAAGTTCTAGCTCTGCAGCAACAGCCTCGGTATACCCATCCCAAATGAACGTCCTTTAGTGGGAAAGGTACATCTTACCATGCAGATGTGCCCTACATTTCTAGTATGAGACCCTAAAATTTACCAATTCCCCATCTTTTTTTATCATGCTGCATCCTTCCCAGAGCCGTGCTGAAAGATTTTTTTCTATAGCAAAGGAAGGGCATTCATTCAGAAAGCATCTGTTTTCCTAATCTTATTAATCTAAGAAAGGCATTTATGCAAGCCAATTACAGCATGAAACTATGGCATCACCACCATGTATTTTCATCATCCCAACCAAATGGGAGAAGGGCATCCTGCCCTGTGCTGGCTCAGGATGCATGCAGACTCAGAACTCATGGGGTGTTCTCAAGTGGGTAGATGATATCTGGGGGCTCTCAGGGATCCCCCTCTAGCTTTGAGGGGTCTGGGATGGAGGCTGAAAATAGCCAACCAATTGGCGGTTCTTATGCTTTTATTGTTTTGTTTTGTTTTTTACTTGACTTGAAAGTGTCTTCCTGGGGTGAGCCCAACATTGGCTTCTTGCTTGTCTCTGTACTGGTGGGGTCATTTTGCAGTTCTCTGTGTCCCTTGAACATCTCCAATAAAAAAAATATCTGCCTGTCCAGAGGCAAGAGGAAAGAGAGCACTGGATGGGCTGTGACCCACCTGAGGGCAGGTACCACTTAGCATCACCACAAGAGGCACACAATCATTTCCAGAGGAAACAGGTGTTACTGGAAGGAGTAGGGCATGCCACATCAGCAAGACTTGTAGGGCTAAGTATGGCCAGCACTCTGCTGGCTCTGTGGAACAATGGATCAGGGATAAGGACTTATGCATCACTGAGGTTAGGTTAAGAGGCTGTTCTAGCTTTGGCCTCAGGATCTGTGTAGATTTTTGTTTTGGGGATCTGCTCCACAAATGCCACAGACCCCTGTCTTTGTCTCCAGCAGCACAAGCACGTGTGGAAAGCCAAACTTCTGAGCCTGGCAAGGTTCAAGTGGCTATGTGTAATAGAAGGCCCAGCTGACTCTAGACTGCAAAGTGAAGCCACAGGCTCTGCTAATACTACAGATTGGGGTGCGCAGGGAAAGATCTAGAGAAATGTGTGTAGATGGTCACATGCCCATGGTGAGTGGGCATGTGTGAGCTACACCTGCAAGTTCAAGCTAAACAAATAAATAGCAGTCCCACTACAGCTGGGACGATGGAGTGAAGAAAGCTGGATCCTGCCTAGCATCACACTGTGGGCTGTAATCCATGAGGTCGGTGCCTGGTATCAGCTATACCCAAAGCCTCCCTTTGTACCACATCTCTGGGTCATCTCATATGGAGGTGGGGACAAATCTTCGTAGGTGAATCTGCCTCCTGGGAGTACCTTCAGGTTGAAAATGTTGTGATGCTTTATGCTTTGATGCCAAAGTTTGGAATAAGACTGGTCTATATCTACTGGGGAGATATGACCCATTTCCAAATATGTGAGCAGTCAACTAATTCATGTAGTTACCCAACAAGGTAGAGATCTGTCAGTGTGGACATGTCAGCCGGATGTGGGGTGAATGTGAGTCCTTGATAAATGGGGAGGCCCAAAGGAGAGACAGCCAGACTTCTGTCACCAGCGTGCTGAGGTCTCCAGATCACCTGTAGCCTCTGTTCTGCGTGTCCTGAGATGAAGCTCCTCACTGTAGAACAGGCAGGGCAGGTTGTAGACAGCACCTTGGTTTGAAAGATTGTAGTTCGAATAAAAGCAAGGCTACTGTGTTCAGTGTTCAGTGTTCTCTTTCTTTGAAAGAGATTTTTATTCTTCATACAGTAAGGCTTGGATCTCATGATTCATGACATTCAATATACCTGCAGCCATTAGATGGGTTTTTCATGATTTGTTTAGCAACAAATGTAAAATGCAGGTCAAGGCAAGCATCTGATCAGTCATTTTCAAGTGAACCTCCAGCACTGTTGTCAAATGAAGGAATTGTCTGAATTATTGGAGTAGAATGAGGCACTCCAGGGGGCCAAGACCCCAGGTCTCACTTGTCATTGTGCTGAGAAGATAGATTCACTTCCATGGATACGAAAAGTTCAGCATTTTCCATCAAGAAATATCTACAGGTGGGTTCCCTTCCCACTACCTGTGTCCAGATAGGGGTTTCTCTTCTACTAGTTCACCCAGGCAGCTTTCCTGGTTCAAGTCTAGAAATATAGTAGCCTGGGTTTTGCTGCAGATCTGGCAGCCACAGACCCTCTCGCACAGCGGCTCACACTGGTCATGAGGCTGCTGTGCCTTCTGTCTGTGCTTCTGCAGCCTAAACTGCAGACATGAAATCTCCAGCAGGCCATTTGAGGGGAGCGGGCAGCTGCCAAGGGGAGGGTGTGTGGCACAAAATAGAACAGACATACTCTGAGAATCATTGCTCTAAATTGAATCAGTACTGGCCTAGACAGGGCCAGCTGGGAGTTCTAAACCTAAGGAGTGGAGGAAGCATGGCGCCCTGGTGCCCTGTCTAATGGTGGAGGGAGGGGCGGGGGAGCTTTGGGGCTGCTGCGCCGCCCGTGGCTCCTGAGAACCAGGGTTGTTGGGGACAGAAGAAACAACAATCAGCAAAGCACTCATTTTGAAGCCAGAGTTCTCCTGAGGCCACTCTACTGTTGACAGGAAATCTAACATTCACATGTGAGTTTTTGGATTCGTTTTCCTTTTATCACAAATTCTATCTCAGTGAACTCCCTGACAATTATCCCGTGTCTGTTTATTGTCAAAGCAACTGTTCAGTGAAGTCAAAGAAATGTGTGAGGCCAATCTGGGAAAAGAGCTGAACAAAACAAACCATGGTCATTGGATTCAGTGGGTCAGCAGTAAACAGAGTTTCTAGTATCCTTTGGATTAGAAATCCTGGATATTTTTGGTAGTGCCATCTTCAAGTCAAGTTCTGATCAACAGGCAACTCCTCTGTGCCTCAGTTTTCTTTTTTTGGGGGGGGGGTCCGGTCGTGGGGCCTGAACTCTGGGCCTGGGCGCTGTCCCTCAGCTCTTCAGCTCAAGGCTAGCGCTCTACCACTTGAGCCACAGCGTCACTTCCGGCTTTTTTCTTTTTGCTTATGTGGTGCTGAGGAATCGAACCCAGGGCCTCGAGCATGCAAGGCAAGCGCTCTACCACTGAGCCACCTTCCCAGCCCCTGTGCCTCAGTTTTCTGATCGACAGCATGATGCTCAAATAATTAGCGTCGCACTGAACACACATGCAAGTCCCAGGAGGCTCGTGAGAACGCTGTGGCTGCAAGCACAGTAGGGCCCTGTTGGAAACCTGAGTTGTCCATGCTCTGTGGACCCAGTGGTGAATGGATTCCAGCAATAAGACTGACTTCAGGACAGGAATAAAAGGAGTGATGGGAGGCTGAGATCTGGAAGATCAAGATTGGAAGCAGAAAAGTCCTTGAGACTCCTTCTTCAATTAACCAACAAAAAGTTGGAAAAGTGAGTCCCCTGAATTCAAGCCAGCATGTCCATGTGAACCCCCCCCACACACACACACAACCATGACCATTGAGCATTAACTATGTGCTAAATGCCATATCAAGTACCAAGTGCTCATGCTTCTTGGGGTGTGGTCCTGGCCCACAGCATCACCAGACTGGACACCCATTAAGAGTATGCGTTCTCTCCCCCAATCACAGGCTTGCTTAAGCTGAGGTTTTGGTGCACAGCACAAGATCCAAATCCTAGTGAGCCCACTAGATCTTCCCCACAGCACTCACCAGTGTCTTACTACCTCCACAACCTTGAGGGGACATGGGGACTGTAGTCACTCTGGGGTTGTGGAGTCTGCAGTCCTCCGGGGTGAGGTTGACTGGCTTGCTTAAAAGCACAGATGATTAGCAGTGGGTGGGGCTCTTGGGCTGAACTGTGCCAGAAAAGACTCTCACTTCTAGGCAAGACATCATGTTCTAACCTCAAACTATGGTGACAGACGGGAAGAAAGAAATGAATGGAGCTTGTTGATACAACTTCATTTTGCCCCAGCTCTGTTCCTGGCGTGATCCAGCCCCCCATGCAAGCAAGTTCTGTAAGCAAATTTACAGAGAAAGACGCAGATATACGCAGATCTTGGGACAGATCCATTTAAGAACTAATGTTTCCAATCAACACTGAGGATAGAAATAAATCCCACAAGTTGCTTAATGACATGTGTAAACCAGTTAATACTCATGCTTTATCTTCTTTAATCTCTTCAATGAAGCCGAAATGTGAAAAAAAATCTCCATTTAAATGAACACAAAATGAAGTTTCAACTTGTGAGCCACTATCAGGAGTCACAGAAGCAGCAAGTGTGAGTACCTGAGATAAATATCTGTACTTTATCAAACCACTTCTTC